CCCTAATAAAATAATGTGGGAGTACTAACTTTGTCTAGCGTTTAGTGTTGAACTTTTAAAAAAAAAACAGGAAGGCAACAAAAAACTCACAGAAGGTATCGTCTTGGAGGCAGAAGTCAGACCTCCGGTAAACGCCGTTCGCGACTGAGAAGTGAGGGATGGATTTGACCTCTCCTGAAGTCCTGTTGTCACCGTTGTCGCCTTCGTGGCTCCCTCCTTCTGTGCTGTCTGGTGACGTAACCGAAAAGCAAGGCTGTGTGAGTGGATGGCACGTCTCGGTGGAGGCAGAACTGGTGTCAGTGGACCTGAGGCCACCTCCGAGGGCAAATTGGGTGAGGCGACTGATTGACGTGAGTCCGACGTTTTCAGGGTTCCAACACTGGTGCCACTTGATGTTGCTGTTGTCACTGCTTCCTCCTCGATGCACAACTGAAAACCCTGAAATCACATCAGCGATTCTTCCAGTATGTGCCTTAAATTTACCCATAAACGCCCATGCGGCGAAAGCTCGGACTCGGGCAGTAGTTTTTAATTCTCCAAATAGCTGTGGAAATGGATATTTCGGTGACCTTACTGCATACGTTAATTAGTGATAAGTATCTTGCATTGCTGATTGCCAGATCTCATGTGCTTGAGCAACCCAATCCAGTCCAGGCGTATGGTGATAAACAGTTTTTTTTCATAAAAGAATATGCAAAATACAAACTCACAGGTGTCTTCATCTCTCATCAAAAAAGACATCGAAATGGCGTAAACATTTAGAAGACATCTGTGTGCTTGAGACAGTCACATGGTGGGAAGAGAGGGGGAGCGGTTCCACCTCACACTCCCCCCCCTCCCCCTCCAATAGCCGACCTTGTAAACAAGCGACTGATGAAACGCATGATTCTGAATAATCCACATATAGTTTGTCTTGGAATTGTACAAGACTAAACCTCCTATGGAAACAGTGAGGATTTGAAATCTGAAAACGTTCGAGCAAGTGAATTCATCACCGCTTTTCAGATTTAACTACGTGGGGATGAATGCTGCAATGAGTTGAACGAACATTTTTATGCTAGAAGGAGTAGACACTTGCAGCAGTTCTGAATGCACCCCTAGGCTGTTCGTGTGACCTTTCAGGAACGCATTCAGCGCTTCTATTTTCCAGGCGAACCAACGCCTATTAGTAGAGTTGGCTAGGCGTAGCAAGCAACAATAAGGATGAGATCGCGTAACGAGAAAGTAATGAATCGAGTGCAGCCTTACCGGGACAATTTGAGTAATGCATGATGAAATAGAGCTAACTGACACAAACTTTCATGAGGCAGTAGTCACCTCAGACTGGGGATAACATTGGAAAAAGGGACCTTAATAATGAAAAAGTACCTCAAACCAGTAGATTACTCATCCATTCATTCTAGCAGTGAGAAAAGATTGATAGGTGTCTGTTTTGAGTAAATTAGGTGGAGGGTGCCACCCTCTCGATAATAGTGATTCCATGGGTAGTCCACTCCGAACTCCAACTCATCGCACTCAAAGGTGGTGGCTCCACCGCATTTGTCCATGTTCCGAGGCTTCAAGGAGACGCCGACTCAAGTGAATCATCAATGCAATAATAAATGTGTTATAGGAACGCAATGGAATATGAGTCACGGAGCTAACACGTTCGTGAATCATCATAGAATACTACTTGTTGTGTGCTGTCATAAACAATTCATTGCTTGTAGTCACCTCAGGGTGGAACCCATTCACTACTTGCGACCTGCGGACTCAAATAAGCTGCACTAATCAGAATGCGACTCCCAAGAAATCCAAATGAACAATGCAAGCCAAGAATTGAATCACTAAGTGAGTGGTGTTAGGATCACATGAAATGGAGCAAAGTGTGGACAAAACACATTTGTCGGTTGATGCCGACTGTTGGGAGAGTTTTTATACCCTTTTATGCGGCCACGTGCATTGGTAACACTAAGACAATAGCTTGAAGACAATGTAAGATAAGTTGAGGTTTATGTGTGTGCTTCCATCCACGTCAACCCAGTTAACCTTGACATCCGATATAAAATGTCTGCAAACCAGCACACTGCATGTATGCCTAGTTGACACTTGGAGGAGAACTTTTT